GATCACTTGGAACGAGCTATGATATACACAACAAATGGGAACAGTCATGGTTCACCGTTCGCCGTTCACCAACGATCGAGGACGATTAATCGTTGCCGACTGAACGTGACTTTATTAGAAGCCAAACGTCGAGTCTGCGAAACGTCCGGCCTCCATTCGCATCGTGTAATATCGGCTTGTTCCGGAAGATTCCCCTATTCGTCTCGTTTGCTTAGGCGGGTCCATTGCAACCCGAGGTAAGCAGGCCCTCGTCGTTGCATAAGTTGACCCCGGGAGCGAATCAAATTACTGCGATATCAGTCACGTGAGGGCATCTTGACTAAGTTTGGTAGCAGCCGTGACCAGGGACCTCCATCTCGTGGCCGTATAAATCCCTTCAAACTGACTACCTTCAGGCGATTTCCATCTCTCCCCAGACTTCTTTTCAAGGTCCTACCTGTCGTCGCCGCCCTCCCCTACTCCCCGTTCACTCCGATGGCTCCAGTCAGTACTGTCCCCAAGAGCACCAAGATGCATTCCAAAGTGGTGCGTGGACTTGCGCGAATGAGGTGGAAAACTGCAACTTATTCTTCTCACAATAAAGGTCATCATTGGCTCTGGTCCCGCCGGGCATACCGCCGCCATCTACCTTGGTCGTGCGAACCTGGACCCGGTCCTCTTCGAAGGTTTCATGGCGAACGGATTTGCCGCCGGTGGTCAGCTTACTACCACGACTGACGGTGAGTCGAGCTTCCGTCCCATATGCGCCCCAAACCTGACCGAGCTAATCTGCCCGCAGTCGAAAACTTCCCCGGCTTCCCGTCAGGCATCCTTGGCCCTGAGCTCATGGACAAGTTCCGCGCGCAATCTCTCCGCTTCGGCACGAGGATCATCACTGAGACTGTATCGAAAGTCGACCTATCTGCTCGCCCATTCCAATACTGGCGCGAATTTCAAGAAGACCAGGAGCCTGAGACCGCGGATACACTCATTATTGCGACCGGTGCATCGGCTAAGCGCCTCGGCCTCAAGGGCGAGGAGACCTACTGGCAGAGCGGTATCTCGGCGTGTGCCGTCTGTGACGGTGCCGTTCCTATCTTCCGTAATAAGCCTTTGGCGGTCATTGGTGGTGGTGACTCCGCTGCAGAGGAGGCAACTTGTGATTATTCCGTCTGAACATTGTCGTGACTATCGCTAATCTCTCTCTTCGCAGACCTCACAAAATACGGCTCTCATGTGTATGTACTTGTCCGTCGCGGAGAGCTCCGTGCATCGAAAATCATGCAGAAGCGTCTCATGAACCACCCGAAGATCACGATTCTTTGGAACACTGTCGCGGTCGAATGCCAGGGTGACGGCGACCTGCTCAACAACCTTCGCATCAAGAACGTCCATACTGGCGAGGAGAAGGATCTCCCCGTCAACGGCCTCTTCTACGCCATTGGCCACGAGCCGGCGACGGCGCTCGTCCGCGGCCAGCTGCAGACTGACCCCGACGGCTACATCGTCACCGTACCAGGCACGACGCAGACCAGCGTAAAGGGCGTCTTTGCTGCTGGTGATGTTCAGGACAAGCGGTATCGTCAGGCTATCACGTCTGCGGGTAGTGGTTGTATGGCTGCTCTCGAGGCTGAGCGATTGATTGCTGAGGAGGAAGAGGGTATTGAGGAGTAGAATTCTAATCTCTCCGTCTTTGTTTGTATATTTTGGGATACATCACGTCTAACGCGTAGAATACACCTGTACGATCAGTATTATACCTGCAGCATGTTAAGGAAATATGGACTCAGTTTTATATCCGAAATTCGAGTAATTTACGGAGGACTCATGACGTAGCGCCGGATTGAAGCGGAGCTGAATTTAAATGATGTCTCCCGGCAGATGCCGGCATTGACGCATACGCTCGCCGGCGTCGTCGTCGACGTTCAACATTACAGCCAACACCATCGTCGTTGTACAGCACATCTCTTTACCTCAAGCATTCACATAATGTCCGACCTGTGCCCCGTCTACGCTCCCTTCTTTGGTGCTATGGTGAGCGTCGGAGTAGGCTGCGGTGGTGCTTAGGCTGAGCAAGATATTCACGTACAGGGCTGCACCAGTGCCATCGTCTTCACGTGTAAGTACCTCGTGTGCTGCTCAGGAGCGTTAATCTGAACGCTTTATATGCTCTCGTGGACTTGCAGGTATCGGTGCGAGGTGAGTAGCGTTCCTGCGTGCAGCCGAGACAACCCACTGACGGTGCTGCGTCAGTTATGGCACTGCAAAGTCTGGTGTCGGCATTTCTGCCATGTCGGTCCTCCGGCCTGACCTGATGATGAAGTGTGTCGTTCCCGTTATCATGGCTGGTATCATTGCTGTAAGTACGAACTCAGCTCTGCTCGTTCCACCCAACTCAATACGTGGCATATTAGATCTACGGTCTTGTCGTTTCCGTCCTTATCTCTGGAGACCGTAAGCGTCATTTAATATCGCTCCATTTTCAGTCTCATAGCGCGTTTTAGTTCAAATGCAAATGCCCTTGTACCAGGGCTTTGTCCAACTCGGTGCCGGTCTTTCTGTCGGTCTCTCAGGTCTTGCTGCTGGTTTCGCCATCGGTATCGTTGGTGACGCTGGTGTCCGCGGCACTGCGCAGCAGCCTCGTCTCTTCGTCGGCATGGTATGTATGCTGCGTTCCGCACCGGCGCTGAACTAACATGCGCCGTAGATCCTTATCCTCATTTTCGCTGAAGTATTGGGCCTGTACGGTCTTATCGTCGCGCTGATCATGAACTCTCGTGCTGGAGGGCTCGGGAACGTGGTGCGTGCGCTATTTCGACGTGTCTACTGCGTATACTGACAGCCTTTTAGTGCAACCCGTAAATTCATCGTTCTGGGGCGCACGAAGCGGGAAAACACTATGCGGCGAGCAGTCGAGGAAGATATGGTTTACTGTCTACTGCAATACATGCAAATGGACTCCCGTAGACAGCCTTGAGCTGTCGACACGTGTTATGACCGCTTGGAATTTCAGCTTTCACTCAGTTCACTTTGCTGTGACCGGTATTATACATTGCTCATAGCGTCGATCAGCTTCTCTACCCAAATGTACAGAGATTCACATACCCCGCAACTTATCACCGTTTCTCCGAATATCCGTTCTGAGTGTGTGTCTGACGTGGCACGCGGCGGCCGCCGTATGCGATCACTTTGAAGCGGGGAGGGTACCATTGCGCCTTGACTCCTGCCACCACTACCCTCTGCTCACTCGAGCGTCGGTTCATTAGCACGGCGTATGCATCCTTACCTCTCGTCTTCGTTCTTCCTATGAGATCTCTTCGCATACTTCCAGTCCCGCTGTTAGCTCTGCTCTTTGCGCTTCCTGTCCTTTCAGAATCTACCACCCCGAATGACCCGTTCCGTCACGTCTTAGTCCAAGCCGAGAAAGGAACAGAGTCTCCAGTATGCTGTCTCCGACCTCTGACCCCACTCGAGGATACAGAAGAAGAGGTCGTACTCTCGTTTGAGGAGTGGAAGGCAAAACGGGTCACCGGCTTAGCCAAGGATCGGCCGGCAGTACTCGCACCTCAAAGCTCTAAGTCCGTTTCCTCGCCTGGGGTAGCTGACGCCATACCCGAGACACCACCCGCCGTGGACCAAGCAGGCGCAGGCGTTGGACCGAGTGCAGTCCCGCTCGACCAGGCCGAAGTCCCTGTGCCAGACGCGCCGTACTTCAAGATCCCCACGACCGACCGCTTCAATTATGCATCGTCGGACTGTTCTGCACGTGTGCACGCTGCTCAAAATTCGGCCAAGTCAGCGTCCTCCATCCTATCGTCGAAGAAGGACCGGTACATGCTAAGCCCATGCACGGAGAAGAATCAGTTCGTTGTCGTCGAACTCTGTGACGACATCCGCATCGACACTGTTCAGCTCGCGAACTATGAGTTTTTCAGTGGAGTATTTAAGGACTTCTCGGTATATGTCGCCAAGACGTACGACGCAGAAGCGTGGACGTTTGCCGGGACGTACAGAGCAAAGAATATCCGTGGTGTGCAGGTGCGTTGGACCATTTCATTAGTAGAAATGTTGTTTACGGTGTCTTATTTTAGACATTTCACCCACCAACAACTCTTTCGGACTTCTATCGATTCATTCGTCTCGAATTTCACTCGCACTACGGAAACGAATACTACTGTCCATTGTCCCTTCTCCGAGTTTACGGTTTGACGCACCTTGAACACTGGAAGTGGGAACAATGGGAAGCTGAAAGTAGGACTCGTCGTGCGTTGGAGATTGTGCCTGTCACGCAGCCGGAGATCGTTGTTGACTCTGTGCCCACCTTGTCTGTGTCATGGACCGACTTGCCAGAGCCGCCAAAGCACTACGACGCCATCATTCCCAATGAGGTCACCTCTACCTCAGAAGAAGAGTCTGCAACTTCTATGTCTGTTCAATCTGCCAGTGAATATGTCGCGCGCGAACCGACACCCGAAACTGTCATTACTTCGTCTCAAATGGCCTCAGCTCATGTTATACCTGCTGGACACGTCGTCAGTGGCCCCGACACCTTTGCCCCACCATCTACTCAAAATGCGGCTCCATCCGACATTGTCTCGGAGGCGATCCCGGATGCCAATAACGACGATTCACGACATCTTAATACGGACGCATCACTGTACACTACCATCACATCCTCGGAGGCTCGTCTCCCGAGTTCTGTATCATTATTGGACTCAGCATCTGCGCTCTCGCATTCCTTATCGTCCCTATCCTCACATCTCTTGCAATCAGGGTCTTCTCAGTCTCTTTCATCAGTTTCTACTACTAATCAGTCCGCGCAAGCTGTACGTTCATCTACTACATCGACTACGCTCTCCACAGGCGTTCAATCCGTCACGATTGTTCCTCATGCTCCTGCACCGGCTCCCGCTACCGGCGGCGAGTCCATCTACCGCACCATCATGAATCGCCTAATCGCCCTCGAAAGTAATAGTTCGTTGTACGCCAGATTTGTCGAGGACCACGCAGCCAGCGTACGTGAGATGCTCAGGCGGCTCAGTGAGGACGTCGGACGTCTCGAAGGCATTGTGAGCCCCCTTCAGAATATCTACCGCAGGTTCTTACAGAGATTGGCATAGGGCAAGGCGCAGGCACAGATGTACGAACGCTCTGTCCATCAGTTTGAAAGGCAGCAGCGAAGACTAGAAGCCGAGCACAACGAGTTGCTGTCTCGGGTTAGTCGTCTAACGGAAGAGGTATAGTGTAGACTCTGCTTCTACGATTCGAAGAACGACCCACTCAGTTGAATCCTATGCTAGGTTATTCTCGAGAAGCGGCTGGGTATTGCCCAATTATGCCTATTGCTTGCGGTCCTCGTGTTCATGGCATTCACCCGGGGTTCAAGGAGCGAGCCGCTGCCTGGGCCCGCAGGTGCCGCCGGACGTGTGCATTCCCGGACGCCGTCTGTCGTCGGCTGGGGGCAGCGCACGCTGAACATCGGCGGAGACTGGGTCAACAAGCTGAGGCACAGGAGCCTGAGCCCCTCATCCTCTATTGCCCAAACTGAGATTCCCGCTAAGCTGAGCCTTGACATGAACGGTGAGTCCATGAGTGGCTGTTTTATTAGACCTTTGACTCAAAGGTCCCCAGATCTGACCGTCGGTATCGATTTCCCATCTCAGGGCGTGCAGGCCGGCGACACATTCCCGCGGAGCAAGCGTGCACACCCTATCACAGGCGGTCACCGTAGAGTCGGGTCGACAGGCCGTTCACGAACGCCGCAGTCCGCACGCGCATTCCGGCACAGCAGCCCGTCGCACCCCGCGACACCAATGACGACGAGCTCTGTCGCAGCTATTCCACGCATTGACCCGCGCCCGCAGATACAGCGCGTGCACTCGAGCGCAATGTCGCAAAGCTTCAGTATGGGCGTGATTGGACCTGTCCCAAAATCGGCGCGCCGCTGGGCACGCACGGCGCACCTGCACGAGGTCAAGAGCAGCGTGCCGCTGGGCACGAGCGGGAGCGAGGGCGGACGATCGAGGCAGCCGTCAGTGTCGGGGGACGGGGACGAGGGCGTGCGACCAGGGCCGGTGCATAGTCAATCTGAAGCTACGTTTGGTTCAAGCGCAAGGCCGCCAATGTCTCAAGCCGCGCAATCCGCATTCGAGCTCGAGAGGCCAACTGGTGGTACAGGATTGGGCCTGGCTGAGTTGGACGAAGGCGATGGATGGGTAGATACGGACGCCGAGTCGGATGCTGAGCATATAAGGAGCTAGTGCTAGGTTGAGGTTGATCTAGCTCGTTCTGTGATCTTTGGCTATCGTGTCGGACGTCTGCGATTTCCAATAGACCAGTACAGCCAGTTGCAAAACGATAGGCCACTTTGAAACTTTAGCTCTAGAGCGAACTATCGGGCGCTCATATCGGCCTTGCGAGCGCTGAGCGTGAACGACGGTGAACCGCTGAACGAGTCGCATACAAAGCTCACAACCCCAATGCCTCTGCTTTCTTACACTGGTCAACCTTCGGCGACACATTCCTGAATAGCACAAGGCGCACCCGCAGTCAGTATTCAACGCTTACGGCGGTGCACGGCAAAGCGTCTGCTACGTGATTTAAGGAGATCACCGAGCGGAGCTGCAATTGCTGTAGCGGGAGGAACCAGGGGTGGCCTATCGTTTTGCAACTGGCTGTAATAGACCCAGACTCCAAACCAGTGCATCCGTGGATGTTGAAGGCCAGCGTCTCAGCCCTGCGGACTGATGAGTCATCGCTATTAGCTAAACTCAAAGGACGCTGTAACATCCACGGACGACTGGCGGAAAATATTGGTAAACATACGGAGCCGCCATCAGCGGACCTTGAAATAGACTCGCCGAGTCAGAAATTCGCTGTGAATATTCGTGAGCTTCAAACGCGTTGCGCGTGTCGCGTTCTCGTCGACGTTCCGTGATGGAGCCTTCTCACAGACCGGCTCCCCAGTCGGGAAGCTCTATTTCCACAGAGAGCTGTCCTTCGCTGGCCGTCGCTCGTGAGGAAGTTCAGAAAGGAGTTGGCAAACGGCTGTGCAACTCGCAGTACCAGGTCATGCAGGGTGTTCTCAGCAGGAAGCACATCCTTGCCAAGCTCGAACTCCTCAACTTGCGCCACGGTCGCTGTAACAGCGCTGAAGTGCCGGCCGGCATGAGCCCTCATAAGGGTGAGCAACACTGTCTCATACTTGTCATATTGCATCTTCACCACCCAGGTCAGCGCTTTCGAATGCTGATAGAGGTTTGCTACAATGTCGGGGCTTCTGGTGATTATGTCCGCTCGGAACTGACCAGCCTTTGTGGTTTCTGAGGCATCTTGGTTGAGGATTTTGAGTATCAAGTTGGAGAAAGAGGTAATATTATGATCTATAAGAACCTCTGAGTCTTGATAAAAAGACATAAAAGGAGCACGGTCACAGGCAGTATCTACACGGACGGCGTTGTAAACGGTGGTGACGAGCACGCTTGATGCGCCGCATACCAAATGCGGGAGGTAGTCACCTGCAAAAAAGAAATAGCCGGAATTTGCTCATCAGTCTTGTGCGGTATCTGCCGAACTCCAGGATATCC